ATGTTTTATTTCTAGTATCAAGTGTGGTATGTCTGTGTAAAATATTCTTTTTTTTTTATTCAGCTTATGAAAAATTGTGTTTATAAACATTTAACATACCCTGAAAACCAATACCTCCCATGTTTGAAATTATTTACCTCACAGGACCATTCAGTGTAGAACTGAAAATGAAGCATAAACAATTTTAACTTTCACAACCACGCCCAAGTCCTCCGCTTTGCCTAGTTTATTTACTTTTTTTTACAATATGTGTTTTCCTCGTCAACGAGACTATCTGGCAGTGTCAGTCCCCTTGTCATGGTGATTAACGGCGTAGCTATGGGCAGGGTGGGGAAAGGCTTGTGTGAATCCAGCAGATTACCGTGTCTCTTCGCCCCACCCATCCCCCTGACTAGTCAGCCAATTACACACACTAATGCAAAATGCTCACATGTTTAAAAATATCTTAGCTGTGACAAATCAGGATTTTCCTTTGTTCGTTTTTGTAATCCGTTAACGTGCCTAACTTCAACTGAGTCAGAGAAACTCTGACAGTTTTGGTCTGCATTACACCCCTCCTTTTGTTGAGTCTATGCAGATTTCAGTGAACCGCTCCAGTTTGTCTGACAGATTGCCTGCTGTGCAAGCAGTTAAGTAAAGCCTTCGAGGTGTATATGACCCGTTGATTTTAGAAGTCTTGTATTTACAGAGGCCCTGAAGGTGTCACCTGATAGAAGCCTAAAGAGCACCTTATATTTACACTCCCTTTGTTTCTAGTTAAATTTTAAAGACTTGAAATACTGTTGAACCATGCGGCTAAACTAATTGCATGCTGCTTTACTGTGTCGTCAGTGTTTTTGTTGATTACTTTTTTCCAACTAGAGTCAATGTTTGGGGGTTTAGATCTAATCGATCTAATCTCATGTTTTAGCATGAGATTAAATTTATTCTGCTCTGCTTCAAGTTCAAACGGACAGCACAAGAAGGGACTGTTCGGATGTCTCCTTTACATAAGTCTGTCTAGGTTAAAGTAAACCATACCAAGAATTACCAACATCCACTAAAACCTTTTCACAAATGAGTCATTATCATCAGTGTAAACATTCAAAGAATTCTTAGCAAACTAATGTAATTAAAGTACTTGAAATAAAGAACAACATATTATTTTTCAGCTTCATTCAGCACAGTCTATGCGAAAAGGTTTTGGATACATAAATACCTTTTAGCAATTTTATTAAGATCCAAAAATTCAAGTGGCATAACCAAAATAAATTAATTCAAACTGAAAAACAGACTTTATAAAACTTTTTGTTTGATTAAAATGTTCTCTTGAGGAATAAATTAGGATACCCCACTTTTATTTCCCCATTGAAATAGATAAAGATAGACACCACTGGATCGCATTGGGGTTCACGTGATGAAAACATCGTAATTTGGCATTTTGAAGGAATGTGGTTAGACCTGAGACATTTACTGTATGTTTCAGAAACAGTTTTTTTTAGGTCTTCAGAAAGTTGAGAAAATTAGTAATTTCCCTGTCTTGAAAACACAGGAACATCCAGAACAGCTGCTGACACATGTAGGCTTGGCTGTCTGCAAAAGGCTAAAAGAAGACTCCAAAAATCCTTAAGTCAGACAAAGACCAGGAATTCTGGAGTTATGTTCTTGTAACAAATAAGTCTAACATTGAATAATTTGGGCACGTTTGGTAACCATTTTTTTCCACATTAGATTCTCCTTCAGCGCCACAACAGCTGACCTCCTTGTGCCCCGTTTGCTGTTTTCTGCTTTGGGTTATGCTGTTGTCAGTAATCTGTCATTTTACTGCCAGTAAAACACATTAAAAGGTCTGAACCAATAAATCTTTATTTTCAGCAGGGAAGTTCAGCTAAACTGAACACAGAGTTAAAGTATTCCAGTAAGCTAAATGTCAATGTTATTTGTAATAGCAAAACTGTGCAAATGATAAAACATTTAGATAAAAGGAGTCATGAATTGCTTAGGGTAAGAAATTAACCATTGTAAGATAATTTAGACACAAATAAGAAAACCTTTAAAAAAAGCTTTTTGCATTTAAAAGTTTGGAAGATGTTTCATTATTAGGACCGTCTCAGGTACGAGTCCATTGTACTGGGGTCATCTAATTATTCAGTCATAGATCGAAATCATATACAGAGTTGACAAAAATTACTATTATTCAGCAAAATTGATGAACAAACAAAAATATGTTTAATTTAGTTACAATGTATTTAGAATACGACTACCGTTTTTTAAATTTTATTTTAAAGTGAAGTTCCTTTCAAAATTATACATGCAAATTTTAAATGCATCATTTGATGTATTTGTGAGGTACATCAGATTTAAACTACTAGGGAGAAACAAGGTTACAGTGAAAGAAAAGGATTTCTCTTCGACAAAAAGCCCCAAGATAAAGCGTGGCTAAAAAAAAAAATGCATTAATCTTCTCTGGATTTGTGACAGAAAAAAGTAGCATGACATTAAAAGACCAGAAAAATATTCCAGTTTAACGATGATCACATGAATGAAAACCACAGCCTTTCCCAGTATGTTGACTGACCTGAAGCAAGAGAACAAGTCTGAGGTGTTCAGAAAGAATGAGGCCGTGCTACAGCAACAAAAGCACTACGGTAGTTGAAAACTACAGAGGAAAAAGTTTGTATCTGCTGCTCAAATATTCCTAAATTCTGATAGGTTGATATTGTTTTACATACAGACATGAAGTATAACATAGTACTAGAAAAAGAGTAGCCTAAAAGAGACAAAAACAAGACAGAAGCCAGAGATCTGGCAGTGGCAGATGCTTCTAACTTAGAGTTGATGTGAATGTCTTTGGATATTTTTATTTAATAAAGATAATTGTGAATATATTTGCCTAAGTTGCTTTCACTCTGTGCAGAGTGTACTATTGCAGACCATGTCTTAACCTCTGTTGAGTATCACAGTAACCACCAGGATAATTCACCTTGCAATACTTGCATTCATCGTTTAGATATGAATTTCTATTGTTCTATGAGAAAAAAACTTGAATAGTACTAATAATTTTTCCCCCACTTTTAATTTATTTCTCCATGTAAAAGTGACAACTGCGCTGGGCTTAAAGTTCATGTACTTGCAATTTTAACGTCATTAAAACCCTTTAGTACTTGCAGTCAGTGAAAACATATCGGTAAAATTGGCACACTCATAGGAATTGCACAGCAGTTTTTGCCATGTGAGAGATATAGGGTTGACGTTGACTGTCTGGAGAACTTTTATTAATTGTTTGGTCAAATCCAAAAACTTTAAAAAGACGACTTTTTCATGTGAAGCACAGAACTGTTTGAAGTTCACCTCCCACTCCACTCCACGTGGCGATCTGGCCCTAAGGACAGATTCTGCTGGCGGTGAGAAGAAAACATCTGCTCCTGTTTAACCCACCCAATAAAAAAAACAAAACGCAGCGCAAAAGACAGCAAGGTCTATGTGTGAACGTGGGAGCATGTTTGTGTTTGTGGGCGAGAGGGAGGGAGGAAGACAAAAGCATACACAACCAAGTTAGTCAAGTATACTGAGGTGTCTGATGTTGTTCCTGGGATCTGTTGTAGGATCTGTTGTAGCTATTGATCCAGTTTGGGGGTTACTGCCCCGAGGGCCCCGATGACCACAGGCACCACTGTGGTCTTCACCTTCCAGGCCCTCTCCAGTTCTTCCCTGACCCTGGTATTTCTCCAGTTTCTCGTGTTCCTTTTCCTGATGTTGCAGTCGCCTGGTATTGCTACATCTACCACAACGGCTTTCCTCTGTTGTTTATCCACTACGACAATTTCTGGTTGGTTCGCCCTTACCATTTTGTCTGTCTGGATCTGGAAGTCCCACAGGATCTTAGCTCTGGCGTTCTCCACCACCTTTGGGGGTGTTTCCCACTTTGATCTCGGGGTTTCCAGTCCATATTCTGCACAGATGTTTCTGTACACTATGCCTGCCACTTGGTTATGTCGTTCCATGTACGCTTTCCCTGCCAGTATCTTGCACCCTGCTGTGATGTGCTGGACTGTCTCAGGGGCCTCCTTGCACAACCTACACCTTGGGTCTTGTCTGGTGTGGTAGATCTGGGCCTCTATTGCTCTGGTGTTCAGGGCCTGTTCCTGGGCGGCCAGGATGAGGGCCTCTGTGCTGTCCTTGAGTCCAGCTTTTTCCAGCCATTGGTAGGATTTGCTGATATCAGCTACTTCGGTTATTTGCTGGCATAGCTGTTTATCGCATGGATTTTGTTCCTGCCATTGAGCTGGCTTCTCAGGACTTGCCTTATTCGTTGGAGGTATTGCGCTGTGGCTCCTTTCCTTGTGGCATCATCGAGGTTGCCATTTGCTTGTGGTATACCTAGGTACTTGTAACTGTCCTCTATGTCTGCTATTGTTCCTTCTGGGAGTGGGACCCTTTCTGTGTGGATGACCTTCCCTCTCTTTGTGACCAGCCAACCACACTTCTCTAGTATATATATATATATATATATATATATATATATATATATATATATATATATATATATATATATATATATATATATATTATATATATATAATATATATATATATATATGATATACATAATATTCTGTACATGCTGTATATGTTTTCCTTCCACGTGCAACATGGAAAAACAACTCCCAATTTGAGTTTATTTTCACCCACCTGGTCTTTAAAGACCTTGGGACTGCGGCTCTTTCAGTTAATGATTGGCCACTGTGGGGAAAGTGTGCACTTACTGTTGTCTCTTATCACTGCCGACCACAAAGCCACTGGAGCAGTATCTCTGAGGCTGACATTAATGGAGAGGACAGTGCTTTGTTTACAGAGACAGGTCAGTTTCTCTCTTTGTCTGCTGGGGGAAGAGAGAGTGTGCATGCAAAGGCTCTATTGACACCACTGGACCTTTAATTCAGTGCAGGTTGTGCAGCTAGCTTGAACTCGATTGCTTGCGTCATTTATCTCACAAAACAAACCATAAAAAAAACAACTATCTGAATCTTTTATGGAGATTTTATTAATATTTGCATTGTCATTACATTGATTTTTACCAGTTGTCTTGTGAAACGCCACGAATTCCACCTTCAAGGAATGGCATGAGATACAGAACCTTGCAAAAGTACTGATGTTTTCTTTCCTCGTCCCTCTCACTTGAGAACATTACCACCACAAATGAAGCAGAATTTAATTTCAGTATAAGCCCAGCTGTTTGTTGGAGACCTTGGAGGTTTGTTGAAGTAAATCAATAAGTAAATAGCATCATGAAAACCAAGGAAAACAAAAGACATGTTAGTGATAAAGTTTAGGTGATTTTTAACTGATACGCCTGACACAGCATCAATGGAAGAAGCAGCCATGGAGACTGTGCAGATCAACAACTTAGGTCAGAATATCTGTTGACAGGACAACTGTTAGTTATCTACTCCTTCTTGGAAGAGAGGCAAGAGGAAGTCTGGAGTGCTGAAGAAATCCCATTTGCAGTTTGTCACCAACTGTGCCATTAACAAATCACTTACCATTACACCATGTGTAATGGAAAACTAACATTGGAGTTCAACTGCATTGAAACATGGTGGAAGCAGAATCATGGTGTGGGGATGCTTTTCTTTATGAACGAAAAGATAGCTTGTCAAAGATGATGGATGGATTTAAAGACAGGGCAATACTGGAAGAAAACTTGTAAGAGAGAAGACTTGAGAGTGGCATGGAGGTCCACCTTACACCATGACAACGACATTACAATTACAGCCAGAACTACGACAGAGTGGTTTAGATCAGACCTCTTAGCAATTCCCCCATGGGGACCAATAAAACACACTGGGGTTTGTTTTGATTTCGAAAAGCACAAAGGGCATTTTGCACACCACTGCGTACATAAATGAGTGCAAATCACATAACTCTCTTGTCTTTCCTTTTTAAAATTTCAACACCTCTGTAGTTCTCTCTTCTCTATGTCGTAAGCCTCACACTGCCTTCCCAATGAGACCAGTCTTTTTTTAGGCACATGGGCAGTAAGGGGCGAATCCCACCAGCTGTACTCTGGTGAGAGCACACTGGTAGGCCTGTGGTCGATAAGGTAGCGGTTTAAGTAGCTCTCCTCCAGTCCTTTGGCCATCATGTTGTTCGCCTGGTCCTGAAGTATAAGCAAAGAACACTCCCGAGCAAGTCTGCGCATCTGAGAAACAACCCCGCCATAAAACTCTGATGTGTAATAGTAGTCTCCCTCGTCCTCCTCTACGCAGGCGGATGACTCTTCTTGGTCTTCGTAAGGGAAATTGTTTCGTGGCATTTCAAAAAACTCTGGGTGTAGCGTAGCCACCAGATCCCCAAGAATTTCTTCCCCTACTGGGCCCACAAACTTCTGGTCAACGTCAGCGCAGAAGACGTAGTCTACCTCTTTGCCAATGGAGCCCCAGATGGCTTCGGCGAACAGCACCATGCGACGGTAAGCCAACCTGTCCCAGCCAGGCAGCTCCGCAGCCGGAAGCACCTTCATCTGTCGTCCAGGGCCCAGCTCAACCGGAGGATCCAGAGTGCGGGGATTGTCTGTAAGAATGTAATACGTGACCATCTGACCAGGGAGAAAGTGGTTTTCGGCTGAGTGGAGGAAATGACGGACAAACCGGGCGTAGGTTCCGACCACAAGGGTCAACAGGCCGACGCGAATTCCTCGTTCTGACAGTTTCGCCCTGCGCCACACCGAATTGTGGCTGTCACCCCAAACCATGGGGGCTCCCCATGATGTCTCCTGTGGGGTTTTTGAGTCCACTGTCTTCATTGAAGACATGTCTTTCAGTATCATTCCATCCTTCATTCCCACCACCCGAGACAAGGGATGGGCTGACTCCAAACTGGGAGCAGCTTTACGTCCATTAAAGAAGTCTGGAGAGACAAAAAGCTGTCATTTAAGAACAAAAACCAAACTGTACTTGGACATGGAAAGTAATCACGCCTATTAATATTTAACATTAACTTTCTGTCAACACTGAGACAGAAAAGGTTAAAACTCTGCCAGAAATGTAGCAAAATACAGAAATTATCTTTATAAAAAAATGATCAGAAGCAACAGTTATAACTATTTGGTTGGCCCACAACTCATTTAATGTCAAAGTAGGTCTGTTTACATATTTCTGAGTGCATGCATTGTCCTGATACAAAGTGATTGAACATATTGCTCTGTATACTTACATATGATAAGAGACAGTAAAAAGCAGCACAGAAGGAGCTGTGTTCTGTTCATTCTGACTGGGCCTGCATGACGACAAACACACAGTGCTTCATGAAACAGTGGCAGCTTGTCCTCATCCACTCTAATGCAGTGATGGGTTTTCTTTTCATCCTCTTTGAGATTTCGTCCGTGTTAACTGTTTCCATGCAACTTAAATGGTTCAGTTCAACCAACACTTTAAAAATTAAGACAAAGATAACCCGGGCAAAAGCAGTTTTAATCTGCACAAGCCTTTTACATCCCTGTGAAGAAATGTTCTTCCACTCCTCTTTGCAGGATTGCATTAATTCACTCACGCTGAGGGGTTTTAACCCTCTCCAGGCAGATGTTGCAGATTTGCAACAGCTTAATGCTACTTTGATAGTCTTTGCAAGTAATTTGAGCCTGAGAGGGTTAAACATGACCGGCCTGTTTAAGGTCAAGCTACTGCATCTGAATTTATTTCAACGTCAGACGTAGATGAGGCCACTCCTAAAGGTATATTCATTTTGATCCATCCAGAGGTGGACTGGCTACCTAAGGGTGCTTGAGTTTCAGACCACAAATTCATGGCCTGAGCTTCTCCTTCAAGATTTTCTTTAGACTTTCTTCCTGGTCTGTTCTTGGATTTCTTGAAATAGGAACATGATGTTTTTTTTTATTTGTTTTTTTTAATTTTTAAACATTTTTTTTTTAGATATTCTTGTCAACTTCATGTTGTCAGGTAGGTTCTAGTGTGATTTCATAGCATAATCAAGTAACTATGTTACCTTCAGTTACTATAAAAATCCTGAATTTATCAAACATAACTCAAAAGCAATCTGATTTTGCAATTTAACATCTTGAAATTGACCTCTATGTCTTTAAGAAGCTCCTGCTCTTTCTGGTATTCCTCTTTCAGCAAGTCATCACAACAATGCTCCTCCATTATACTGCCTAAAACCATTATTATGAGAGTTGAACTGCAAAGTAGTCAGCATGATAAACTCAGCAGATGTCCAGTTCCATCATGTTTGATCATTTCTGCTGCTGCTGCTAGTCTGCAAGAGTAGAGTGGAGACGAATTGCACTGCTCCACGGTGAAGCCCTGTGGAAATAGGCGATGCTTGTAGAGAGCAAACGTTTAGGCATCATGGATTTCTCAAACATGCATTAAAGAATCAAAGCAACACACCAGGTATGTTTTTGGGTGATGGAATAACAGTAGAACATGATGTAATGCTCAAGAAGTTGAATTTACAGTACATAATGCCCCCCTTTAAGTATAGTTTTCGATCTCTGGTTAATAGGTAAGAAATTTCTGCTCCACACAACCAGATAAGTTGCTTTTTTCATTGAATTAATTAAATAATTAAAAGCCTTTTTGTTTTTTTGTTTTTCATAATGTGATTTTTGTCTGATGGGCAGATTTGTTTCGTCCTCTAAAATGTTTAAGTGTGGTCAAATAAAAGCAAAAAAGAAAAGGAATCTGTAAGGGGCAGCGACTTTATCACACTGCTGTTTTTTGCTGTAGTTTGAAACCTAAAGTTTTCTGCTGTGGTCGTCTGTTTTGACTTGGAGGAAGGAAAATAAGAAGATAAAGAATGACATTTAGATGAATAAAAGCGTGTAATCTGCAAGACCTCATGTGATACTTTAGGCAAAAAATAGAAAACAAATGAGACAGTTAGATGTCAAACATCTTTGAAGCCACGCAAGTCCCTCAGGTTTTTTTTTTTCTGTTTTACTTGACAAATTTCTGGAAATAGTTTGAATTTCAGCTACATCATTCAGAACAAAAGCAACTTTAACCCACATGCGACACACATTCACAGCTGCCAATGATGAAAAAATTAGGAGAACAAAAAGTCTACTAACCTGCAGGAGACTTGCAGAACAGGAAAAGGGCCATGCTGCTATCAGTCGTTGGTTTAAACTCTCAAAGCCTAATCTAATCTAACAGTGCAAGAAACTATTTCTCTGGGTAGCTCAGCCAGCCTCTTCCTGAACGTTGGCCATTAAAACTGCAGTGTTCGGCCACTGGTTTTCCAAAGCTTCAGATTCTCTCTCCTCCTCATGGCTTTCAGTTTATTTTCCTCTCCTCTTGCTTCACATACTGAATCTTCTTTCCAGCAGCCCCCCCCGTACACCCAACCCTCTTACATTCCTCTTAACATTTTATTATTTTTTTTTCTGCAGCTTTGACTCTAGGAGCAAAATCCAGACAGCCAGATGTGTGGGGAGGAGTTGAGGGAAACAAAACCAGGAAAGTGCAACTGTTGAAAACATACACACAACCAAGAAACAGCAGAGATAAACAATTTAGCTTCCTTCCCACACTGTGGGTAGAAACTCAGGGTAGAGAATCACTAAATGTCTGGGTTTTACTTGCTTTATTTACAGTTGAACTTAGGACTGATGTTGGATTTGTTTTGTCCACAAGGTGGAGATATTTAGTTGGTAATAGACGCACGACCGCATGGAAAACATGAGAGGACAAATATTTCTTTGAGCGAAATCAGGCCAGCAGATGGCCAAGGAAATATTTTATCACTGATTCATTGTGAAAATAGGTAGCTTTGACATATTCAGCCTTGTTTGGGCCTTCCTTTATGAAAGGCATTAGGTTTTCTTGTTCTGGCTTGTTCTGCAGCCCCAGAACCAGAACCAGAACCAGAACCAGAACCAAACGTGAAGAAGCAGCATTCAGCTTCTAACACTAAAATAAACACAAAGTTTTCAACAGCATATGATCTGTGAAATAATTTATTTATTTATCAGATGAAACCAATTTTTTACGTACTGTCCATGAAAGACATGCAATATATTGTTTTCATGGAATGGTGATAAATAATCAGGCTAAAAATAATAGAGAAATATCTATAACAGACTCATACAAATGCCAGTAGTGCTATCATTGTTGAAGCCCATATGATGATGCTGTGGTGTTGTAAGCTCCTGCTAAATTAAATCACAACAATTGGGTTAAATGGAAGCACCCACATACTCACAACAATTAATCTGTCCCAGAGATGAACCTGTTCTGATGTGAAATGTGCCAATTTTTCAAGAACAAAAGTTTACATTTTGACCACACGTAGTGTGGTCTGATCAAAATGATTGGTTTATGTTAATGTCACAGGAAATGCAAAGATGCCTGCTGTCATGTGATTGGTTTTATTGCAGGAGGAAGTGGTGTGCTCTATGTGTATGGAAAGCTTGTCAGCAGAGGTGAGCTGTGTGGGAGCGAGGCCGCCATTCAAAACCGACTCAGGCACAGCAGCTCTGTCAGGAAAAACGGGAAAAAATTCCAGGAAGTTATTGTGAAAAACTTGTTGAAGGAGATCAAAAATGGTTGACTCAAAAATAATGAAAAGAAAAAAAAATAACAACAGGTAATTGCCAGACAGCACAATCACAAATAATCATAACATATTAATAGGGAGTCAGTTCTACTAATAAACAGAAAAAACAATTATGGCATTATCTGAATTCATAGCAGAAAAGAATTAATTATGTTGAGCAAAATAAGTGTGGAGTAGGGGTTCTGTGGTGGCGCAGGGGCGAAGCATGACCCATATATTTAGGCCATAATCCTCGTGGCGGTGGTCGCAGGTTCAATTCCTGGCCAGGCGACATTTGCTGCATGTCCTCCTCCTCTCTCATTACCCTCCTTCCTGTCTAACTACTTTCAAATAAAGGCCACTAGAGTCAACAAAACCTTTAAAAAAAGAAGCGTGCAGTTGGAATTTTCAGAGCTGAAAGAGAGAAATAATTATATAGCAAAAACTATTTTAGGCATTTACTGACATTTTCACTCAGAACCACACAAGGTTTTCACTGTGGTCACAAGTAATAATGTCCCTAAAAAAATAAAAAAAAACCCCCAAACCTCTGCATCCCCACAAAATCACCTCAGACTCAAAGTGTCACTTTGCAGTTTATTCAATAAATTTCAGATTTTTTTTATTTTTATACATCCATACAGACATGGCAACATAACGTTAATTTGTGTAAACGACGTCTGACCGAAGAGTCCGTCAACAGAAGTGGTTAAGAGAGCAGCACGGGCTGCTCTGAAGGAAAGGTGAGTTGGAGCATGAAAAGCTTTCAACCAAACGGGTCACTTTGCTGAGGCGGCAACCCGAGGCAGAGGGCAGAGACTCCCCATGACGGCGTCCAGAAGGATTCATGTCACAAACACTAAAGACATTAAACGGAGATTAAATGTGCACAGTAATCTTAGCAGAAATTAAGGCGTTCAACATGAATGTGCTTTGATGCTGCAGGATTCAGCCCCTATTCTACAGAGCTTTGGGCCAGGTGAAGTTTTTTTTTTTGTTTGTTTTTTTTCCCGCTGGTACATATGCTGGAAAACAACTTTTTCTTTTTTCCTTTTGCGAAGCTTTTTGACAGCAACATTTTTGGCAGTGTTTGTAGTTATACGTATTTATAACCATATAGACTTTACAGCCACAAACTGTGACCTGAACCACAAAGAAATACATTTTTAAAAAGGTTCTGATGTCCTATTAAACTTATTTCACAGGTTTAAATCATCTATAGAAAAATAATTTCTTTAATGCAGCATTGCACTCAGAAAATAAAAAATAAAAAAAACTGCTGGGGTATTTGCTTAGCTTTTTTGTGATTGTTTTAATTTAAGCAAATTTTTAAATTCTTTTTAAAAAAAGAAGTATTTATCCTTATTGATTTGCAAGTCAAAACATTTTTATTTGCTCTCTTATATAGCAAATATTTTTTCTGAATGACATATTTCTCGTAATACTTGTAAGTATATAGAAAATAAAGCTATTATTGTGTTGCTTTGTTGACACCCTGAGAACAGATCGAAAGCCAACATTTTCAAAATAATTTAAAGAGATTATTAGTTTAGTATTTTTTAAAATTTGTTTCTGGAATTTTTCTAATTTATCTGACTTCCTTTCGGCTTTATAGAATAAACTTTTACTCAGAGGTAAAGAAAAAAAGTTATTACAGTAGCTCAGAGCATCAGGAATAACTACATATGGATGGGATTTGCTTAAAAGGGCTTTCAAACCGTTTTACAATCATTGTTTCCGGATGACAATATAGAAATAGATACTACTGCAAAACTTATATTTTAACGGTGGCATGCTTGAGCAGGCAGTAAAGAGAAGAGAGCCAAGGCCACCAAAACTTCCCACATCCCTTTGTTTTCTGGTTAAATGCATTTAGACGCCCCACATGAGGATATACTTTACAGCACACAGGCTCCAAACAAGTCCATGTTGGAAGTAAAGAGTTTACTGCTCTAAAGGACTGAATGAAAGAACGAATCTATAGACAGTTATGGATTAGAAGTAGATAATCAGAAATGCAGCATTTTGGGTATTTCTCATCTCAAGGTTCCCCTTAGAGGTTTTGACATCTGTCTGCCTTCTTTCATCTCTTTGTCTTGTTCCTCCGCTCCCAACCTCCTCTCCTCTCCTCTCCTCTCCTCTCCTCTCCTCTCCTCCTCTCCTCTCCTCTCCTCTCCTCTCCTCTCCTCTCTCCTCTCCTCTCCTCTCCTCTCCTCTCCTCTCCTCTCCTCTCCTCTCCTCTCCTCTCCTCTCCTCTCCTCTCCTCTCCTCTCCTCTCCTCTCCTCTCCTCTCCTCTCCTCTCCTCTCCTCTCCTCTCCTCTCCTCTCCTCTCCTCTCCTCTCCTCTCCTCTCTCCCTGCGTGTTGCGCCTCCCTGGCTTCGACTAGTCGTCCAGCATTTCAAACAGTGCCTGCAGCAGCCGGTCGTTTCTGTGCTTGTACGGCTTGATGTTGTAGAAGCCGTCGCTGTAGTCACTGTAGAGGCTGTCCCCTGGGCCGCTGAACTTGTTGATCAAGTCCAGAGCCTGGTACAGCTTATGAGCTGGGAGTTTTGTAGGAAGAGGAAGAAAACCCCGGCTTTGCTGCTGCTGCTGCTTCTTTCGGGCAGAGAGGGGCCTCATTGTGGCCCGGGGAAGCTGCGACGCGGTGGCATGGTGTTTGAAAGCCGTCTGAAGGAGACGCAGCAGGGCCAAGGGAGGAGGGCGTGGGGAGCCGCTTGAGGGGCTTTTGGGCTCCTTCTCTGAGACTGAAGGAGAGGGTTCTGCAGCCTCGGTCTTCTGACGGGGGCGGGGATGCGTGGACTCCTGTGTCACCAACAAGACACAAAGAAGACACGGCATTTGATCAGGACGCAGATGGTAAGAAAAAAAAGAAAAAGAGATAATCTTCAGAATGTGCGTGCAGATTGCGTTGTGTTTCATTTGGCTTCAGCAGTACTGATGTGAGAGCGTGTAAGACAAAAATTTCTCTCATCTTTAAGGATTGGACAGAGAAGCCGAGAAATGAGTCTTAATCTGAGACGACACCAGGACCAGTGAGCTCTGGGCTGAGTTTTGCATCTTATCTTGAAAATACCCGTGCTGCCATTTGTCAGGCTACACATACCAAAAACTTCTCTGTAAAAAATATGTAAATAGACATTACTCACATAAATGGGATTTTACAAATATCGCTACAAATTTCTGCCACTGTTGTCGTAGTTAAGTATTTCTGTGTAGAATTTTGAAGCTATTTTATTAAAATTTGGAAAAAAGCTGTAACATTAAAAAAGTGGAGAAAGTGAAGGAGGTGAATATTTTTCAGAAGTTCTTTAAAAGCTGGGTCATCCTTGAAGAAAACCTATTAGAGCAGCAATTCTAAGAGTACAGCATGAGCTACAATTCACCAGTTTAGTTAAGGCACTTTATGTGTTAGAATGGTGCGGTCATCATACTGACCTAAATCTAACCAGGAATCTTGGAAATAAATGTTTTGCAGGCTGCTGCTCTCCAGCCAGTGGCTGAATTTGCAAAGAAGATTGGGGCAAAAAATATCCTGTGCACGTCCAAAGGCGGTAAAGACGTATTACTAAAGACCTAAAGGTGTAATTGCAGCAAAAAGTCGTTCCGCTCAAACCCCAATGAAAACGCCTTAAAGTTTTTGGCTGTATGATGACATCAGAAAGCTCACCTCCATCATGTCATCCATGTGCTCCACGCCACGCCGGTCATTCTGAACGGCATTGTAAGGAATGTAGACTCGAGGTTTCTTCATGTGTTCTGGCTTCTCCGATGTTCCGTGGAGAATCAGCTTCCAGTTCAAGATCCTCCCCTTGTTCTCCATTCGCCCTGACTGCACAAAAGAATAAGAGGGCTTAAAAAAGCAATAGGAGATGCTCAATAAATCCACAAAACAAGCAATATTATGCACTGATTTGTAAAATAAAATGAAAAACCCCTCACAGTATCTGTGATCTTCAATGTCCAAGTACCAGCAGGGTTTTCTCCCCATGTGTGTACCGACATAAAGTCCCAGTTTTTGAAGCCATTGGATGACGTGTCTCTTTCTCTCTCGGCCAGAAGTACAGTGGTTGTACCTGAGGCAACACCCGAAGGAACGGACTGTTTACAACCACATCGGGGTTTGTTGTTTGTCACACATCCTTGTGTTCGTGTGTGCGCATCTCTGACCTGCGGGGGAGGTAAGCGTGATGTGCAGGTCTCCTCTCCGGGTGTATTCAATGCTGGCCTCCACCTGCACGTGCTCCAGGGAGCGGATGGCGTTCTCCTGGCCCTCGCAGGCTTTGGTTGGGATCTCTATGGTGATCTCTCCTGCCGCCTTCAGCTCCCTGTGGGACGCATTGAATTAGCTGCGACGCAAACAACACTTCTCGACAAACCCGAGGATGTCACATGGTTCCTGACTCAGGACATTTCTGTTATTAAGGAAAGACAATTATGAAAAGCGTACAGTATTTTGCCTCAACTCCTTTCAATTGTTTAAATGTGGAGGGGAAACAATCATCTTTTAACAGGCTTGTTTGTTTGTACTGCCTACAAAAAATAAATTCTCCTATTTTTCACGTAAATATTATATCATAATACATTTCTTTCAATTGGGGTCTGTGATGTTCATGAAAAGTGATACACTAGAAAGTTTTTTCTCACTATCTCAGACCTGAGTGACTTTATCCAACATTTTCACAGACCCACTCATCATCCTCTTAACCTTGCATATTTCCACACTAGTCAGGATGCCCACGCTGGTCAAGACTTGACACCTGATCAGTGTATTTAGCGTCCTAATTGCACTCGTCACATGTCATCATGTTGCATGTTTAGCGGCAGTCGCAAGTGCACACAATATGCGTCTGCAGATTTAGCAGCATTTGGCCATTCATTTGCAAAAAGCAACTAATCCCAATCTCTCCCAGATATGAATGAAAGGATTTATGCGTTTGAGCTGGCATGAAGCCAGAGGGGCCGTCCAGACTGCTGAGCAGAGTTTAGGAAATGGAGAGGCAAATCTTTGGGATTAAACAGGGGAAACGCAAGGTAATCAGAACATGTGTGTTGGGGATACCGAGACTGCTAATCCACCATAAAGAGAAGAATCAACATAAACTTTTTTTTTTTTTACTCTAGTGCTCTTCTGTGCTGGATCATGCAGCAGAATGTATTATCTCTGCTTCAAAGTGTTCTCTGTACCTCGGCTGAAAAGAGTCGTCTCTGACGATGCACTGCTTCTTCTCTGGCGCGTGTTTCCACACCGCTGGGTCTGCCAGGTCCACCAGTGCTTTGGCGTTGAGAAGCCCAAAACCGAAGCGGCTGTTCACCATCAGCCCCGCTCCGTTCCTCTTCCAGCCCGGGTTATTGGCCAGCGGATCGAACTCCGAGGTCCACACCACAATGTGCTGCAGGTCTCTCCACGTGAGATCTGGACTGAGGCAGCAAACACCAGCAGACCAGTGAGCATGTATCGAAACGTACGAAGCAAAGCTTTGATTTGCTAAGTGAGCTGCAGGGTCTCATACTTTTGTTCCAGAGCCAGGGCGAAAATCCCAGCAGCCAGTGGGGCGGACGCCGAGGTTCCAGTGTGAGTCTGAGTGCAGTCGTTGTGAAGATCGGCGCTGGTCTGAAGGCAAAAACAGCAAAGAAGACAGGATGAAGAAAGTCCTGAGGTGGATGAGCTCTGTCTCTCTCTGTGTACTTACAATCCTCTGGTCGGTGTAGTCTCCGCTGCTGTACGCCGTAGCCAGAGTGGAGGAGCACTTCTCGGCGTACCACGGCGACAGGCCCTGCTGGGAGGCGCTGCTGATTGAGATGGTGTAGATGCTGTCTGTGTAACCGTCGCAGTCACAGTTATCGCCCTGGCGACCTCCATTACCCGATGCCCAGACGAAGATGGAGCCTTTCCCGTTGCGACCCTGCGCAACATGAAACAGAGAGCGAAAGGAGAATACTGAGTCAGACAATCTCCTGCTGGTTAGAATCTAAAACTGATCCCAAACAATGTTTAAAATGCAATGAAACTGTTATTTTCTATGAAAGACATAAAAGAAAGTCAGACAGCTTAGGATGTAGTTTGACGGTTCTGAGAAAGAGTTCAATTAGCATCAGTGTAACGTTTACAGCTGATAACAATTTTGTCATTAAAATCTTCACACTGAGCAGCTCACTGCATCGTTTCTAACATTCCCGATCCATTTGAATCTCACCGCTGCTGCATACAATCGTGCCCGTTAGCAGACCCCACCATCTAAATATGCCGCAGTTTGCAGAAGTATTCAAACTCCTGGAATTTGTAACCATTTTGACATGTTACATTGACAAATGTCAGAGTGATTTGGGGAATTATTTGAACAAAGTAACGCCGAATTCGGACAAAAGGATTTTAAAAAAATAATGAAATAATAAAAAAATATGTGCTATATGCATTTGTTGTCATTACCTCTGAGTCAATGCTAGACCAACACTTTGGTCCAGCAACAGCTAAAAGTATTGATGTGGCGATTTCAATGAATGTCAGAAGGTTTGAGGGTGCATGTATACTTTTCTGGTACAAAATGGTATCTGTGTCATGTTTTCTTTACCTGCTGAATACCGTATTCAAATGCTTTCTGGGCCAGGCGGCCAGGACCCTCCACGGTCTTGCCGTCGTCGTTGGGCCCCCAGCTGGCGCTGTAGATGTCCACATGGTTGGGGTTGAATCCAATGGAGCTCGCCTCGATGGCGTCCGTCACAATCCCGTCCAGCATGCGAATTCCTGAGGGTGAAACACAACAGAAATATTAAAGTTCAACACACTTTTATGGCTATGACATTATCCGAGGTTCTCCAGAAAAGTAAGATTTTGATATGAAAGCAGCCGTGTGGTACGAAGGAAAAAGTTTGGATGATCAGGGTCAAAAGTTGAGAGTTCAGAGGAAGTCAAAGGTGAGACAAAATCTAAAATACTCGACTGACATCTTTAATTTCAAAATCAAACACTGCCGCTTATAAAAACAGACAAAAGATAAGATAAAACACACACAGTGTTATGAGGTGGTAAAGCTGAATGGATATGCTCACATTTAGCTCAAAGCAAATGTGAGCATTTGCTTTGCTCTCACCTCCAACCTTGGAGTTGTATGCCACTCCGACGCCACATTTCTTGTTGTCGGCCTGCATTGCAATCTCCCCTGCACACCGAGTGCCATGCCTAAAAGGAAAAGAGCAATATATCTTAATTTCCTCTAAGAAAGGTTTGGTTTTTAACCAAATAAATAAATAGCTAAATCAAGTATGTCTTCCGTAAATAGTCATAGCAAATTATACTAGGACATTTCAGTAACACGGCAGTTCAAAGAGCTTTGCATCGTAAAACCACAAACATCCAAAATTGAAATAAATAAATAAATGAGTGAAACGATAAAGACATAAATACATAAGACTGAATTGTTTAACCCATCTTAACTCAGTCTGAGACACCAGAAAAGTTGAGATTGGTTAACGGTATAACCTGGACTCACTTGTTTTCATTGGTGGAGTCGTATCTGGGGAAAGGATCTGGATCGTTGTCGTTGAAGTCGTAGCTGGCTGCCGGATCCTTCAAAAGAATAAAAGGGAACTGGGTGAATTTTGTCATACAAAGAAGAATCTGATGCAGAATATTATAATTCTGTCATTGTTTTTGACAGACAACTTTGTCATGAATTGACAGGCTGCGTGGTCTTTTATTTCCTGTTCGACAGTCTTATAAAAATAAAGAGCTTCACGGTAACCACTTCCATATCCAATGAAATCAGATGCCTGTGACTGTCATTTTACTGCTTATAAATTATGCAAATGAATGCTGATTATTCTGAATAAGCATCCTGTCTGATTGATCTCTGGATTAATAAGCATCAGCCTAATCGCATTAGGAGCTGTTGTCACACATAATTCACTCTGCTTTTCTTTCCTTTTCTTTGCTGTGTGCATGGCTCCTGAAAGCGCTGCTTTCATACCATATCCCACTGCTGACTGGAATTTGTTTTATGAAATAAATAAACAAAAGAGTCAGAGAGGCCTTGCAGATGCAGAAAAACCCACTAAGAAATGCCTTTTAAAACTCAGCAGCTACGAATCCAGGAAGCCTGGAGGCCCCTGAGCCGACAGGCATCATCACTGCCTCTGCGAAACGCCTCGCGAGGTGTCGCCGGTGCGCGTCGCCACGGCAACGACGGGCCCAGACGACGGAGGCTGTCTCCATGGAAACGGTGTCTTACGTAATTGGCATAGATGTCCGTGTGGTTCCACTCCAGTCCGTCGTCGAGGACGGTGATGACCACTCCCTTCCCCGTGATGCCCTTCTGCCAGACGGGAATCACGTGCAGGTCCAGCTTCGGCAGCTGGGACGACGACCGCGTGTCTTGCTGGATGTGGAGGACGGAAAAAGAAAAACTTTAATTAATAATTACAATAAACCCCCTTCCTCCCAACCCCTTCTTATCTCTTTCTGACGGCTTCACCTGAACGAGGCTTTTCAGGAGTTATCATAATGAGGGTCAGCTGAACTTCTCCTCCCTCCGCCCCGCTGAGTCCGCTGACCTTTACAGACATTCATCCCTGGGCTGTCAGCCCTTTTTTTTCTTTGTTGGAGTTTGAATCCACTCCTGCTGCTGCACAGCCACTCACAGGCAGAGTGTGACTGGAAGGTCAAAATAATTGAGCCGTTTATGCTTCTCAATACAATACCTTCAGGCTCAAGACTCACACTAGTGCACATGGACATATGGGCGTGGGGAGGAGAGGGGAGCTCAGCTCACATCTGGTGATTCCATGAACATAATCAGGGCGAGTCGAGGATGACTGAACGATAGCCTTCCCTTTTCCCGCTGTGAGAAGTTTTGTGGCTCAGAGCTGGAAGAAGCTGAGACTAAAAAAAGAGCTCTGCACTTTATGCGTTATGCTGCAGAACACCTCACCAGATATGAGTCATCCCTGCGATGCATTGGCCTCTGCTTTGATTCCCTGCTCCCACCCCCCTCCTCTCACCTATCGCAGCTCTTTCGCTCAGGACAAGAATCCATACCGTCATACAGACAAATGCCCAAAGAGACGCACTAATAACACAGACCCACAACCTCGCAGCCATGCATGAGAGAGGGATTTCAGGCCACATGTGTGAGTCATCCCCTAATTAGGCTCATGCAGTCACCCACTCATTGTAGATAAAGACACTTCATCTCTCACTCTCTGCTGCAGCTCTCTGCCTCTGATCTTATCACAGAGCTCCACCCCAACTCCAGTATCAGCACCCATAGGGTCCGCCAGTATCGCTGTCACTGCTGTCTTTTATGACCTCTCAGTCTTTGTGTTATCTAATCATTTTCCTTCATTATCCTTCCTTCGCCGGCTCTGTGAGGAAACGCCTTATGCCACAATGTTAAAAACAGAGGGATGCCTCTGGTTGGTTGTCCAATCTGCTGACAGTTTTTTTTTTTTTTTTTTTTTTTTTTGCATCCAGTTGTAACCCGGTCCTCCCGGTGACACAGACACGGCTTGATGTGAAAATACAAAAAGCGGCGCTTTGACGCCGATCCCATTAGTGTCATCATCCCTCAGTGGCAAAGCTGATTCATCTCAATTTGCTTTCTCGGTCGCCGCATGACTCATGTTCTCTTAGTGCAGGTGCAAAAAAAGAGTGGAGGCCCAGAGAACGGATCTGTCTTTCAGACGTCCACTTAACTAATAATGATTTTTAAAAAAAAGTCCAATTTGTTGAAAGAATTTGATGACATTTAAGCCCCAAAACTGGCAAAAACAAGGATTTACTCTCTTCGGTAACTGATCGGTCTCACCTGATTGACCCGTTGATCCAGGTCATGTGAGGTGATCCGGTCAATAACAGAGCACATCTGTTCCCTGTAGCTTAACAGCCGATGGTGAACATGCTCCTCTGCTGACTCTGTTTGCCACTTTATTCCCAGAAAAGTACTTCAGAGGATATAATATTCATTAAGTTGCAGTTGGAAATTAATAACTTGAAGTTTTCTTTGTTTTGGAAAATGCAAGGCATTTTACTGCTTTAAAAGGATTGTTTTCAATATAGTTTGTCATCAGATAGACTTGGCACAATAACAATCTGATACTGGACGATAAGCTGCCTCAGTAATCACTCTGGTAAATGACAATATTGCTCTTTTGAGATGATTTTCAAGTGATCTGTTGATAATTGCATAATAATGCCCTCTCACAGACCAATGAACTTTCATTTTGCAAAGAAGACTCAACACTGGAACGGGAAGATGTCTTCAGTGAAATGAGAAAACAAACAAACAAACAAACAAACAAACAAACAAACAAACACAAAACCATAAATAAAATGGATTTGGATGCTAACAAAATTATTCCTTTGAAAAATATGAACCACACCATTGTTGGTGTGCTCCATCTGTTGGGATGGCCCAGTCAAAGTCCAGACCCAAGTCTTACCAACAATAAGACCTGAAATCTGAAGTTCAGTCACTTCATCCAGTCACACTAAGTTTCCAGAGGTGAAATGCATGCTACACTTTTCAAATGTTTGTAAATCAAGCGTGAACTTTGCAACTAAAACTTCAATCTCGGATTTTACGTGACAGATCGACGTGAAATCGTGCAGCACTTAGAAGCAGAAAGAAAAGGATTCTTTTCCAGACAAATAACTGACAATAATGTGCTGCATGTTTTTGCCCTTAAGCCTAATTGTACTGCTTAGCCCTAATAAAATACAATAGAAAACAACCAGCTGTCGTAAAAGAAGTCCTAAAAGCTCATGGGCGAAAGAAAACTTTTTCCAAGAGGGAATATATGAGAATATGTGAGAAAGGAGGCTTTGATTGCAATCTTTTCTCTAACTCCATGCCCTCAGACAGTCGAAAAGTCCCGTCGTGGTTTAAATTAGGATTTAATGCGTTATGCTCTGGCCTACCCCATCCGACTGGATTACGGTCTCTCCAAACCCTTTCATCTCCACAAGGGACCGTGTGACCAATTAAGCAAATTGCTCTCTTGGCTGGCGCTGCATGATAGAATGCTTTTTTTTTTTTGCCCCTCCGTATTGCAATCTACTGTCCGTATGCGTGCACATGCAGCGTGTTCACTGTTTATTCTCTGCATCGCAACACTTGGATCAATTCACACGAGCCATCTGATGCTTTACGTGTAAAACATGCAGAGGTGTTCCCATTCATCTCGACTTGAAAGGCTGCGGGACAAAGCAGCGAGAGCGTGGATCCGAATGCATGCGGGTCTCTGAGGAGAGCAGACAATCTGCAGGCGAACAGAGCCAAAGTACGCATCATGTGACCAGGGAGTAAATGACCACTCCAAAAACTTTTACGCTCGAACCACAGTCACAAACGTGCAACATCCACACACCACTGGAAGACAAATGTATCCGCTGAAAGTCGCCTCTGACATAAAACTGAAAATGTTCAAGCCTTGGAGACCAAACGACAACTCACCAGGTACCACTGCTCGTTCCACATGGGGTCGTCAAAAAGTTTGTCCACTGAGCAGTCCTTGCATTCCCTCAGGGCCGCCCGCTTGCCTCTGCGCTTCTCGTACTGCTGCTCTGCCCACAACACCTGCGCCGACAAACCAAGAGGCTTGAAATCTCTTCAGAGCTCCAGCGCTTACGGGTACAGGACGAGCCCGAGACCTGAAAACCCACCCGGTCATCCTCCGAGAGCTGCCTGGTGATGTGCTCCGCGGCGCGTCTCATTCTGCGAGGGTGGCTGCCATGTTTGAACAGGAAGAGGTTTTCCAGGGCCCCAATCTGCAGGGATGTTGGACAGATAAGCACACTGCTCCACTGGAATAAAATCAACCATTTGTTGATGCACTCTTATTTCTTAGCTCTTTGTTTCAACTAACTATATTATGTTTAATGATACATGGCTGTAGATCAGTTTGCAACAGGATAAGCAGCAGCTGCTTCACAGGTTTTCATTTTTTTTTTCAAATGAGGATCAAAAGAATCCACACAGATCAGACCAGCAACTTCAGGGACATTAAAGCTTGCATCGGCCAAACTGTTGACACATGAAGGCTCAGACCAATTTTAATCTTAACACATATATCTCGAAAAACAAGATCCTTGGAAAATAAACACAATACTGGTGAAGGACACCAATCGACGCCCAGTGCAAACAGGCTCCAAAGAGTTCAGACCTCTCCTTACTTCTTCATTCCTGCTAAACTAAAATTTCTCTGCTAAAGAAACTAACTCCAAAGCATGATGCTGCCATGTCTAAAAGCCAGCATGATCTGACGAGCTTCTTCTACAGCTCTGCCGTGTCTCTACATGGCTTGTGGCAAACTGGGAATGCATAGCCACAAATCAAAATCACTGAGGGAATGTCAGCAGATTGAGCATGCACGGTTTTGTCATGTTTAGAATAAGTGGACTGATGGACATTTGTACCCAGTGGAGAACAGGAGCCGTGCAGTTATATGAACTAACAGCTGTTATGCATACTATGTTGTTCTCCTCCACTATGCCCTTTTATCTTAAAATAATAATAATACAGTGTTCCGAGTCTCATAGTCTGTTTTTAAGTAAAGTGGTACAATTCAGAAATCTTTGGCTGGTCCATTTGATTAGCTTTAAAAAAGATTTTTTGTTTGTTTGTTTGTTTTTTTTTTGTCTCAGTGAAATGAGACTTTTCATTTTAAAATAAAACCCTACTTTTCTTGTTCTGGCTCTGCCTACGTTAAAATGCTCCTACGTCAGACACTCCCCACCCCCCTCCCCCCATTAAAAATAGATTATTATTATTATCATCATTATTTTTGAATTAAAGCTGGTGCTTCAGGGCGTCGCCTACCTGTCGGACCAGCTGGTAGTCCAGCTCCTTGGCGATGGCCTCGGCTTCGGACAGCCCGCCGGGGATCTCCACAGCCCACTCGTTCAGGTACTGCCTGTCCGCGTAAGACAGCGCCTGGCAGCGGCGCAGCGCGGAGCAGAGGACGGCGAGAACACAGCACATCACCGCTGGACGGCATCTCACGTCCATGTCCGAGGGAAATCAACAAGATGAGAATATATAAATGGAGAGATAATCTCCACACACACACAAAAAAAGAGGGGAATCAAAAAGAAAAGAAAAGAAAGAAAACCCTGCGAGATGTAAACGTTGCGCGGTTCTAATAATCACATAAATGGATGAATCAGTCGTTAAGTTCAGGGTGTTCCTAATGAAAGCCTCTCTCTGAGATGGAAGGAAGGAACCAGCTTGTTGTGGGAGAGGAAACGCTGCTGAAAGGCAGGGCTCGGTGTCAGTGCGCGTCTGTGGTCGTGATGTTGGCAGGAGGGGGGGAGCGAGGGGGGAGCTTACACGTCAAATTACTTGTACTCTGACGTCAGTCTGGCGCCCACCTCTGTTTAGATTGGGTGCTCGTTCCTGAAGGAGAGCGTCGAAACGGGAGGACTAAAAATATCACACGAGAGTTAGAAAAGCAGACAGTACAGCCGCATCCAACGCAGATCCCATCTGATCGCATGTTTTGGGTGTGTTCATGATCATCACCACTGAAGCCGGATGCGCTGCAGCATCTGCCTCACGTGCATTTTTCGTCCGCGCGCGGCCGTCATGTTGTAATCAGGGGTCGTTCACGCGTGTCTGAGCTTTTTTTCCGCCTGTTGTCTGCACTGAACAGGCGGATTGCGCTTCGAGGAGCTCTGTGAGGCAGATCCCGCCGCCTGTCTGTCCTCAGGCGTCAGGAAAAGCTTCAGCACCCCGGACAGCTCCTCCTTCCCGCCGTGAAACCCAGCCGGACGTCGAAAGGAGGGCCCTCAGGGGCCCAACTTTGAAATAAAACAGCCGGCATGCATACCGTTCCTGATCTTGCTATAGTGCTGTGAGTTAGATGCAGTGCGTCACATTAATCCACTCTTTTGTTTGTAGGTTTCTGCGCGTGAATCAAATCTGCGTAATGAAGTAGAGATGGATGATAACAAATACTGCTGCAGAACTGAAGACGTTTTCAAGCTTTATGTAACAGTGACCCTCTATAGATTCAATTGTGATTTATTTTATTTATTTATTTATGGTGGTGCAACACATAGTAGCGAACACCTGTTGTTCAGGTAAAAATGTTTGGTTTGCATTTGTGGTCAATATTTGGCACACAGACCTACAATTGAATTTCTTTTTGGAAATGAAATCAAGCTTGAACAATGACTATCAGATGACAGTCAAAGGGAAAGAATCTTAAGAAATTTATTTTTAATTTGAAAGCTTTATTTTCTTTTGTTTTAACCTATCACAAAGTATATATATATATATATAGTTACGTTTGACAAAAATGCCAGTGTGAAGTCACAATATATTACAAATGGTTGTGAATATTTTTGTGAGGCGTTCTACGTAGCACACGTGTCTCCTGCTCATGCAGTTTACTATTTCCCCACTACAAGATCACTTCAGAGGTGACATGGTCAGGATCATAAATGTTTTTTTTTTTTATGGATATTGTTTTATATTTAGTTGTGGAAAATTGAACCCAGGAAAGACCCATGACTCACACAAAACACACACACCACACACTCACACAATGAGTTTTGTTTGCTAATATCTAGAGGGAATATAAGAGCCAACTTAAGTGCAGTGATATAATCGTGGTAATAAATGACTTCTGGTAGTGCGGTCTGTAATCTGAGCTGCACATCCAGGGAGGTTTACTGTGAGAAGAAGGGAGAACAAAACAGCAAAACCAAACAAAAACGTGTGTATGATTTAAATGTAACACAACCAAGCCATACGAACATATTCAAATAAAAACATTACTGATGAAACCCCCACAAAAACTAAGAAAGTGCTTTAGAATAAAGCGCACGCAGTCACTACAAACCACGTTGTTCTCCGATGACACACCGGGCACCATATGAAATGAAGGCAAGCAGAGGAAGTGAGAATTAAACACAAAGAAGCGAACGTAAAAAGGAACGAGCAAGTTGATGGCCTGGTCACTGTCCAGAAAATGTTGCTCGTTCAAAACCAGACCTTTTCTGACATGCAGACTGCAGCTTAAAAAACTCTGATAAACAGTTTCCCCCCTATAGATTCTCAATTAGCTTTAGATCTTTATTTGGGTCTTTTACTCAAGAGCATAATCTTATGCCCTTCCATCATAGCTCTGCCTATGATGGATGTTCCTTTGTAGCAGGATTGCCATCCTGCTACAAAGTAAATATTTGCCTCCTCCTCATGTTTTAGCAATCCAACTGTTTTTCTCTTTTTGTTACTTTGTCTTGTACTCTGTTTGTCCATCACCTCTGATCCGATTCCTTGTTCTTCCTGATGAGTAGCATCTCCACAGCAGCATACAGTCACCAATCACAATTTTTCTGCATGTAGATGAACTGTTCATGGTGCTCATGCGGTTCATATATCATGCCACACATAGCAAGTAGGCTAACATTTTTGGCATCTTTTCTTATCTTTGCAGTGGAGCAAAAATGATCTTTTTTGTTTCGATTTTTGGTTTAATCTGATCAGAGATTAAACCAAAAAATTTTAAAACAACAGATTGTTTTAAAATTACTTGATAAAATTATGCAGAATCCTAAAAAACAAAACAAAAACAACAAAACAAATGCATCAAACTCGGTGGTTGCAAGTTTCAGGAGGATGGAAACTTTTGCGAGCCGAAATAGCTGTTTTCTGTGACATGTCACGATCTTTAAAGTTTTATACTAATTTTACCGATCAAAAAATGATGCAAATAGCTGGATTAATGAGATAACACTGTGTTACAAAAAAAAACATTATGTTTTGGAAGTTGTCTTATGTTTTTTTCAACTGATTCGGGACTATTTTGAATCCAAAAAATGACATCTATTTGTATCAATCAGGCCAAGTTTTTATTTTAATTTGATTTAGAGAAATCTGATCTTCTGACTAAATTGATGACGTAAACAGTTAATTTCCGTTAACATTTCTCATTAAAACATGTTGTAGGAGAAAAATTTTCTAATAGAGTACATTAGTTAAATGTCACAAACTTGGATTTCTGTAGATTGACTAACAAACAGTGATAAGGAGAAGTACATGTAAATTGAAGATCACGTCTTACTTGTGCTGAACTCTGACTCTTTTCCATCCTGGTTCCTGCTCTGCACTCACTGATCCCAGATTCTCAGGATCCAGATGTGAGAACAAGTCATGCATTTTGATGCTCATGTTGCATCCACAGTTCAGAAAGTTGATCTGATTGAGCAGAACCAATGCAACTTTTGGATTCAGAACATCAAAATGACCCTAAAACAGCTGAGAAACCCCAGACATTTTTTTAGTTGTTAACCAGTGTAATAAGTCTGTTGAACAGCTTTCTTTTCAGAAAAGGCCATTATTACACAGTAAGCCCTCTCATTTAACCATCTCGTCAAACTGCGACAACTGCAGATGGAAACAGTGTGTCAACGGTTTTAAACGAGTGCAATGATCCAGAGACCACGGCTTGAATGAAGGGATGGCTGTGATTTTTCACCCTCCTCGAAACTACGGAGGCCTCAACAGTCACAGCAAAGAAACAGCGTCAACCCGTAACAATGGAGCACGACGCTAGTGCTGCTGCTGCAGTAATGGACACTCCAGTTTTCATTTTAATGAGGTGTGGCTTCTCCATAGAGTGAGTTGTTAGTCATTACCTTTGGTCATCTGGTCGTGTACAAACAGGTTCGCAGCACATCGGCTGTATAATCCATCTTTCCCTAGCAACGACTGTTTGCTCTCACCCAGACTCTCACTCATGCACACAGAAACACTGAGGAGGGGGAACAAAAAAACCCCCAAACACACGGGGTCAGTTTATGAGAAGCTGATATTGTTACAGATCAGTGAATCTTTGTTCATACTGATTCCCTGAATTCGGCGTCTTTACGTCTAAACTGGGCCTGAGCAGAGGGGAGATGTCAACAGAGATGGGTGAGATCATTCTTCTTTCACACGCACCCCCCCCCACAAACACACACACACACACACACACATCACTCACATCAGGCGACTCCAGAGGTCGAGCTGTGCGTCTCGAGCTAATTATTTTTCCAGGTGCACCGAATCGCCTCGCGATAGGGAGCTTTTAGTAGCAGCGTGACGCAGGTGAAGACGTGGAAGGAGGAGAGCTGACTCAGCGCATGCTATCTCAAATGAAATCAATTAGGTATGGCGAATTGATCATTTCTGCATCCCTGCTTGTCTCCTGCATCGTGAGCTGTTGCAGTATTCAGCGTGATGTAAATGCAACTCAAATCATTTTGAGCGACTGTAAGCAAACAATTAACACTGGAATCAATCACAAAGGTTCAGGATCTGCTCCAGTCGTTCGCATGATGACAATTTTCAGGCAGCCTTCCACAAATGTCATCTGATATCACCTCATGGTGTAAAATGTCATTCTGGGGTCAGATAGATCTGCTTCGTATTGACAATGATGCACCGAGGATTGATCTGGGGCGGGCGGAGGTCTGAATGCTTATCGGGCGGTACGACATTTTGAATTCACTCTGAACTGTGTGGTTTTGGACAGCGCCAGCTGCTGCCCTTTTGTCTGTCTGTCCTCTGCCCAGCTGTCTTTGTTTTACATCCCAGACTTTCGTTGCGTCCCTTACAGCGCCATCTCACAGGTTCTTCAATGTTTTTTTTTTTTTTTTTTGTTAAACTATGTGTGCCAGTGACTGACTGGACTCATCTGACCTCTGACCCGACAATAATGTCTTAAATATTAGGAGTAACCTCAGACTTTAAAGCTCCTACTGAACTGTTCCCATCTAAAAGCCTCTTGAACACAGTGCTGACTCAAGGCTACCAACACGTAGGGCTGATAAGACTGTGATCTTTCCAAAAATAAGCAAAACAGGACATTCTGTTAAAGCCTGTGGCATTATTGCTACATGTGAAACTTTTGTTTGTGCGAACTCCTTAAAAGTCCAGGTCAGCCGACTGAGTCGTGTTTTGTTCAAGACTTCCAGGCCGTGAATTCAATTCAAGCTCAAGCTCCAACCGGATACATCCAAATACTGTTTTGTTTCAAATTCCACCTGATGTCAAAGTTTTCTTCAAGAGTCCTACAATCGCTAAGGCTGCACTGATAAACAGTTTAGGCTCTCTCAGCCTGTGTGATGGTACTGCACCGTTTCAGTATGTTGATGAAATCCTCATCTGCAGCCAAGCTGCTGTTGAGTGGACAAAATACATTGAAACATTTACAGGCTTTTGGACACAAAGTGAATTTGTCAAATTTGCAATTTCTGCAGGAAAGTGTTACATTTTCAGGATATTTTATCACTGCTGAGGGATACTTAGTATCCCTCAGCTGCTGTATCCCTCACTGGGGGGGATACAGACTTAGACTTAGACTAGACTTAGACTTGACTTTATTGATCCCTTGGGAAGACTCCCTCAGGAAATTATAGTTTTATAGTGTTGTATTGGGGATATTCCCAATATTCCCAAAATATTGGGAATATTTTGAACTGGGGTTCAAAATGTTCCCATGCCC